AAATCTTGGTTCAAGAATGGAAACAATAAAATAGGACATCAGAAAAAATAACATGTGAAAGATGAAGATACAAACGCCTTTATGATATTTACGAATAGAGCCAAAGCAAATGATTGGTATCTTGACACCGGCGCTAGCGAACGCATAATATGTTGCTATAGAAGATTTTTTGATTATATAAATGAAAAATAAGAAAAAAGTACAAGTAGGAGATGGAAATAAAATAGAAGGTAAAGGAATAGGAAAAATTAATCTATGGGCTTTCAAATGGACAGAAATTATTAAGAATTACGTAAGCAGATGTACTGTACGTACCAGATCTCATTTTCAATCTATTTTCAGCTGGGTGTGCTTTAAATAAGGGGTATCATTTGACCTCGAGCAATAAAAAATGCGAGACAAACTTTATAAAATGCATTTCACCTTAATAGAGGATAAAAATTACATCGCGATTATTTCTATTCAGGAATTGAAGATTAGTGAAAAAAAGGAAGAAAAGAGCTGCCCCGATAGTGAACTCATTGACAATCTAATTGTAGAATGCATGCAGGTAAAATTATAGAAAATATTAAAGATTGGCGCTGTAAGTTAGCCCATCAAAATTTTAACTATGTGAGGGATTTTCTCAAGAGAAACAGCATACATTTTGTTGATTGTGAGAAAGATTTTGTTTGCGAACAATGCTTAAAAGGAAAGCAGCCTAAGTCACCTTATAAAATTAGTGAGTCTCGAGCTGCTGCACCTATGGAATTGATAGTACCAATGAAAACCGTATCTTTAGCAGGTTCTAAGTATGTTTTGCTATTTAAAGATAATTATTCGAACTACAGATACGTCTACTATATGAAGGCAAAGTCCGAAGTAAAAAAGAAGATTGAAAATTTCTGACTGGTTGAAAATTAAAAATCCTAAGAACAGATAATGGACTGGACTAGAATTCTTAAATAATGAAGTACGAGAAATATTAGAAAGTCGTGGAATAAAACATCAAAGGACTGTAGTTTATACACCTCAGCAGAACGGGAGAGCTGAACGAGAAAATCGCACTTTGGTGGAAGCAGCCAGAACTCCATTATATTCAGAAGAAAGATTAAATGAGATTTTTTGAGCTGAAGCGATAAACAATATCACATACTATAAATCGTACTGGACCAAGTTCACAAAAACCACCTTATGAACTGATGTGGTACAAAAAAATTATCAATTCAGTACAAGTTTTTGAATTATTCGGAATAAAAGTTTCAGGATTCTAAAAATAAAATGGGAATATTGATAGGATATCATGAGAATTTGAAAGGATATAGAATATTTGCCTGAAAAACATAAGGTTGAAATACACAGAGATATTATTTTTGAGGAAAACCACCTATTTAAAATATTATTTCTTTGAATCTCAACTTAAAAAAAAAAACGTTTACTGAATAAAAGTAAATGTTGCCACCATGTAATGCGCTGTCAAGTTTATGGAACGGGACTCGCCGCAACGAAAAGCGTACCGAAAGGGTAGGTAGAAGATAATGGGGAACTAGACGACTAGACTAGAGAAGAAGCTGGGCTGGTCCCTTAAGACGCTTGTTTGCATTGTTCATTATTCAATTTTTATATTTATTTTGCATTAAACTAATTGTTCAATCCAATTTGTGATTAGTTTGTGTGTCAAAAGGAGCATTTACAGGTCAGGTGAATAATTGTTATTTTGTTTTTGAAAGTTCAATTTATACAAGTATTTTTTTTTTTCATTTTTATGTTTTTTCGTTTGTTTATAATTTTTTTTATAACATGTGCTTTGTTCATGTATTTAACAAAAATCGTTACATTCTGTAAACAACACAGATAAAGAGTACATTAAATCTTAGAAAAATTATGTGCTGTCTTTTGTGCTGGGATTTTTATTTGGGTACTCAGAGTGTACATTAGAGCCTTGTTGAATCTACTAACATTTTCCTACCCTGACGAGCGAATATCCTACCAAACAAAGGAAAGAGATATTGGCTCAAAAACAACTATAGCTGAGTAGCTTCCCGTATGGGACCTCAGTACCTGCTGGGAAACTGGCTAACAAAAAAAACTCTTAAGGATTGAATATAGGTAGTGTTGATTGAATGTTGTGTGTGGAATTAAAATTTAAGCACAAAGACAAAGGATGGTACCTAATTTAAACTTTTATTGAATTATTGAATCATTGACTTAAATTATTGATTATTGATTAATTACTCATCATAAAAATGACACAGTATGTTTTGATTTTTGAGGAACGTTCGATCGAGGGTTTCTCTGACGTTCTCTTTCCCCTCGAGAATTCCAGGTCGAGAACGGTACGATTTACTTTAATAATAAACTAGACGTTTCACAAATTTTTGGTTTCTTTTACATACCACAGCTTCCCTTAAGTTTACCTAATTTTGCTATGTCGGGCACATGTCCAGTAAGTAAAATTGAGTAAGTTTCCACAACGTAGGTCCTATTTGTTTTTGATTTCGTTTTTCAGAAGATTTGTTGTTTAAAAAGTAATAAAAATTCACCGTTCAATCTTGCTGAAAGAACCCGGGTATGTTATACTACATATTTATACCTAAAAGTATCAAGAACACTGAAAAGAAAAAGTAAACAGTAAACGATAAATTAAACACAGAAAAATATGTTACAAAACTGATGATTCTGAAAGCGAAGAAATCCAAAATGAGCCCAGAAAGGATAATTTATCCGAAAATATTAGTGAAGCAGATGAAAGTGGAAATTCTGAACATCAAGATATAGTTGACTAGCGAATGGCGATATTGATGACGATGTTTTTATTTTATTGTTGAAAGGTTTTGATAAAAATGAAGGTAAAATAGTCGAGCTAAAAAAATCCTTATATGGTGTAAAATCATCATCCAAAAATTGGTACAAAAAATTTAATGATTTGATGTTCTCCCTAAATTTTATAAGGTTGTACCTGACGTACGTCACCAAAAAGAAGCCCTATATTTAGAGGTCCTGGGGTAGCCAACTTCACCACAAACGGATAAGATGGCTGTGAGGTTCTTGTGGTTCGGAAGACCCCATGGTAAAAGTTTGCTGGGAGACCTTTGTGCCCACACCTTGGAGATGTCCAATGCTACAATTCTGGATTTGCCAGTCTGCAACTCCACGATGCCACACCCTACGGGGTATTGGAGCAGGGGCTGAGGGTATATACCAAACGAGCTTCGACCAGAAATCAATTTGTGGTATGATTTGCCCGAAGGTGCAAAACACATCGATCTTCTAAGTAAGGATCTGGATCAATAGTAAGGGACAAATCGAGTAAGTTTGCCTGTTGAGAAACGGAATCGGGAATATTTGTTATTTGTGAGCTCTTTTACCAGTTAGGTTAGGCCGTGTGAAATGGCAAATGCTTTAGCAATCCTTCCATCGTGGGTGGGTTTGTTCGAGAAATTAAGCCACTCTGAGTTTTGATCATTAAAATCTCTCAACAGTGTATAATTTAGAATCTAGGAGTTCGGATGGCTCTCCTGGATAGAATCAAACGAATTTGCCAAATTTTCAGATAGAAGATCATAACTATGGAGTCATTGGGTGAAAAGTAAACGCAGCAAACGTATCGCGTATAGAGTTCATAGCCGGAAGTAGGTTGACAGATCACAGAAGATTTTACTTGCATCTCCGTTAAGACCAACATGTGCTCAAGATGTTGGTGTACTGGGTCATTCAAAATTCAATTATTAAACTTGATGTAGACTCCCCTCGTACTTACTCCTCTCGGAGATCTGAATGGGAGAGTATTCTACCTTCGGAATTCTTTGCACGAAGGATGTCCATCAACATTTGTGAACCAAGTCAGTTTTCGAACCTCAAATTTAGCTCAAGTCAATGCTTCTCTCAACAACTATGGAATATCATAGCGAAAGTTTCCACACCTTTGCAAAATTTCTCACTGGGTAAATGTGTTTGCTCAGTCATGTCTGCTGTATTTTCTATGATGTATGTGATCTAATCCATTATTTTTTTAAATTTTTCAAATTGTTTTTTGTATAACTTAGTTGAGTTCAGGATCTTTTTTCGCGTAACTTATTTCACTATTTTACCTTGCCTGCAATTTGTCTTTCTGTTGTTGTACTTCTGATAAAGCGCACAAATGACCGCGAAACATGGACGGAATGCGATATTCTTTCTCTTGTTCTAATAACCGATGAGTGCAACATAAGTTTATTTCTGGAGGGAACGAACGACCAAACACTCTGTTTTCGTTAGTGTTCAAGGAAATCAACACCCTTGTTTTTGAGTTTTCTATTTCAATTAGCTCGTAATTGAAAAAGAAAACTTAGAAATGAACCAGTATACTATAACAACTTTACAATTCTCCAGAAAAGTAGTCAGGTTCAGTTTATATCAAAAGTATATTGCAATACCATACAAAATCGTCAGATAAAACTTTCATAAGAGAAAAAAATCAAATTTAAAAATTTCACCTGTTATAAAAATGTTAAAATTTTCGGGGATGATACCACGAGAGCTTCAAAATTACCGATAATTTTTCACGAACGCGTGTTTTCTATAATTTTTTTGCAGAGAAAACACGCATGAGTGAGAATGCAAAAAATATGGAAATAAATATGTATTAAACGATTTGAACATCTTAACAATCAATACAAATAAATGGTTGCTATCAGGAACCGTTAGTTTGTATCAAAAATTAGCATGACAACCATGTATACAATAACATGGGAGAATTATCGCTGTAATTCTCTCTAGTTAAACAAATAGAAAAGAGAATTTTCGATGTTATTCTGAAAAACGTCACTTATCTTATGGGATTTCTAACACATGAGTGGAATAATCGAGCATATACACTAGCAACTAATATAAAATAAAAGTAAATTAAAAAACAAAACAGCACAGATTTTTCACTTACCTTAACAATAATCTCCTTTGCACTTATAGTAAAATTCCTAAGCTAACTTAATCTGACACATTGAAATTAATTAAGGACAAAAGAAAGAAAAAGACCTGCAAATTTAATATCACAATTTTATTTTTAAAACAGCATTACAATAAAAAAAAAAAGGAAAAGATTAACACCCTCACTGGCCGGCATACAAACCAACTAAAACACGTATCAAATTTTGCTATATAGGCCCCAAATTATATACAGAGTATTCTTCCAAATAGGTGATTATTAGAGTACAAGTATTTAGATTTACAGACCAAACCTAAAGTAACTTTAGTCCTCTTGGAGCCTTTAATTCATGAAACATCAGATTATGGCACACACAAAATAAGAAAAGACAGAAAGTAATAGATAGAAACGTGCATTATTATTAATTTATACAGGTGCTTGAAGGTTTCGATTTATTCACTCTTTATAATAAGTAGGCAATTAGACGACTTAAACTTATATTAAAAATAAAAACAATTAGGCGCTAGTTATGTATGTACAAAAACAATAATTATTGGCAATAACTACGAGCTTTCATGTTTGATAATGGCAAGAATGCTGTAATGGGATTTTATCAACTTGAGCTCAAGTGAATGAAAATAGTCCTGGAAAAATATGCTTTCGAGACCCAATTAAAACTTCCTTAACGATAACAAAAAATCAGCGTATTCAAATTTATCAGTATTGTAAAAAGGAGATGAAACGCTTTCGCTAGTTACCTTTTGGACCTAATATTCACCACATGCTTTTCATCGAGAAAATTTGAAGAAAAAAGTAGACTTTTCAATCTCCGATAATTGGTTTTTGTTAAAACCTTATAAAAAAGGTAGAAACTTTCTATTAGTGTCCATATTTACAAATCAAATATCTCGTAATCATTCCATCAACTATCTCCGTTACAATTTAATAAATTAACCTAATAAACTATTCCATTCATGTTTTCACATCACTCACTCTAAAATTGGCAACATTTCTAGACATTTCCACTTTAATAGGTACTATTTTGATTGTCCTTGAGTCAGGCTTAGGACTAATTTCCATTACATGAGCTTTCACAGTGGTTTCTTCTTCTTCGTCCATTAAAATTCGCACTGGAATAAATCTGCCTGCGCCTTTCAGTTCTTTATCCAATCGTACATTGGTGTCTTGGTCTAAAACTCTTACGTTCACAAATTCTGAGCGACCCGTTTCCAAGACTTCGTCGTTTGTGGTAAAGCTTGGGTTTAGGTTCGGTTTTTCTGTTTGGAACAAACCTTGCAATGATATGGTTGATGCTTCAGTAACTAAAAGAGGTTTTGGTGTAACTACATTGATGTGGGATATTCCATCAATTATTTCAGGCTTTCCAGCAGGATTTGTTAATTCTTTGCTGTTCGCTACTTTACTTTCACCAAAAATTTCAAATTTTCTTTCTTTGCGCAAGTCTTTAGCTCCAGATTCTATTTTAATATTGAAATTGGGATTCACAAAAGTAACATCATTAAGTGCTTTCGATGGAGGAATTTCTTCAACTTTAGCCACGTTTTCAGATTTTATATAAACTGGTGATGACATTTGTTCCAAAACAGAATTTATCTCATTCAAATCAGGATTTTCAATCACCGTTTCTTTATTACCATCTACAATTTTAATTAAAGTTATTCTAGAAATTTCCCCAATTTTATCTATTGTAGGAATTATTTCTATTTTATTACTAGTATTATTATTTTCTGTTTTAACTTGAACAATTCGATTAACTTCAATAAGACGTTCTAATTTTCCAGTATTTGCAGTTGACGGCGAAGAACTAATCATTGGCTCTGTGGCAGTATTGCCGTCTTGAATTTCAGCAAATATGTGATGCAATGTTGTCAATGATGGATCAGTTGAATCAGGAGTTTCATCAGATGGATTTGTAGATGTTAATACAACAGCTGGTGTATTCATTTTTCTTTTAGAAAATAAGTTTTTGTTTCTATTTTTAACTGCTTCAGTATCAAAACCTAAATCTTCCGAAGGTATACTTTCAGTTGTTGGTTTAGTGAATTTTGGTTTGTTGATTGGTTTTTTGAACTTTCTGGTATCAATAGGTTTGTTGATTGTTCTTGGAGTCGTAGAAGAAGCTGAGTAGGAAAGTTTGAATTTTTCACTAGTTGCGTCTATAAGCTCCTGTTCATCATCTTCATAATTTTCATCATCAACTTCTTCATCATCATCATCATCTAGGTTTTTCTCAACAAATCTAATTCTTTCTGTGGTACTATATCTATACAACAACTTGTTGAGTGGCAAAGGTGATGTGGAACGAATTATTTCTGAAACAGTAGTAGGTTTTTTATAACGATTTTTCCCAAATGCTCTAGTCAATGGTTTTCTAGTGCTGCTACCTGACTCAGTACTAGAGCTTGAAACAGCTTCGGTTGTAGCTCTCGTTAGAAATCTTGGTCTTTCTCTAAACGATCTCAAAGTTGAACGACGACGATATTCTGTAGTGGTTTCAGTAGAACTAGGTGATATCTCATAAACTGGTGAATCTGTAGCTGTTTCCAAATCAGTTAAAATGGTTACGTCATCTTTAGAAATCGTCGTTGCTTCTTCATCAACATTCTCGACAGTGGTTTCTTGTTGATCCATAGTTGTTGTTAGAATTTCATTATTTTCAGTAACAGCATCAATATTTTCTGTAGTTGTTATATCATTTTCGCTAGTAATAATTTCTGGTCCATCTGAATCAGCCGTAGAAGAAGTTGTCGATCTCAATCTATAACCTGGAAGAGTTTTTATTGAATCCTCTTGCGATTTCGTTTGTATTTCCTCTTTACTCGAAGCAAAACGTTGTTTATATGATGGACGATCTTTTTGAGGCTTTAGCAAGTTATTCTTCCTAGTTACAGCCTCTTTCTCTTGTACTTCATCTAAATCTTTCTCATCATCTAGTATAGTTTCAGATTCTTGTCTATTATTAACAGCACTTGTCAAAGTAAGCGAACTAACAGAATTATTAGCTATCATACTTTTATCAACATCCTCTTCATCTTCATCGTTAAAGTTGGTGTTTGATTCGTATTTGTGCATTCGTTGTACTGATGATGTAGTGTAAATTGTGTAATTAGGTTCATCAATTTCGTCATCATCATCAGTTTCATGGTTTTCATTTTCTTCATCCTCTGATATCATCAAAATTTTAAATTTGTTAGGTTCAACCTTTTCTTCTTCAGAAATTTCAGTTCTTTCAGTAGTTTGTCTACCAAAACTAGGTCTAAAGATTCTTTGTGATTTAGTTTGTTCCCTAATTTCTTCCTCAACATCTACGTCATCATTGGTTTTAGTTGTCTCAGTATTCTTTCTAGCAAAACTAGGTCTAAAATTTTTTCTTGGTTTGATTTCTTCAACAATCTCTTCCTGATCATCAACTGAAGGTTCACCAGATATAATTTCTTCATTTACATTGGCTCTTTCAGTAGTTGCTCTTACAAAACTAGGTCTAAAAGGTTTTCGCGATGACGCTCCTCCAACTTCTTCATTTTTGGTTTGTTCATCTTTTTCTTCAGATTTATATAGATCATTGGCATTTGAAGGGCGCAGACGTCTATGTATGATGCGTCTTCTTCCAGTAATATTTTCTGTTGTTGTATCTGAAGAATTAGTTTCACTGGTAGCAGTAGTAGTACTAAATTTCCGGATTATTTTTCTTGTCCTTAAAATTCTTGAATTTTCAGTACTAGTCGGGGCCTGGGTAGTAGTTGCTTCATAATCAGTACTTTCTGAAGTTGTTTTTTCTTCTATAGATAAGCTACTTTTATCAAATTTTCTTTTTCCAGGCTTATCATCGAATTCAAATGTATTTATTTGACTACTTTCCCGAATATTTGACTCAGATAACTTAATATTTTCACCTTCTTCAGCGTTCAAAACACCAGTATACTCAGTAGATGATTCATCTACATCATCATCTTCATCATTGGCATTATTTTTAGCTAGTTCAAATCTGGATCTGCCTTTAAATAAATTTAATAAAGGACTCTCTGATGAATTAGTTTCAAGGGGTGAGGCAGTAACATTTTTGATTTGCCTTTGCCTAAATGATGGTACCCTTCTTCGGACTATTTCAGTTGTTGATGAAACCCTATTCTCTTCGGTAGAAGCTGTCGTACCTGCACCTGGTCTAAATTTTCTAATAATTCTCCTAGTTCGGGGCGTAACTTTGACACTATCATTTTTCGGAGTACTGTCAGTTGAATCATCCAACTTCGGTCTTGGTGAGCTGGATCTGAAGCCTCGAACAATTTTTGTGGTATCTGATCCTTGTTGAGTACTATCCTTTAATTGATCATCATTTGTTGGTAAAACTCTGCGAGTTCTACCAAATGCTGTAACATCAATAGCTTTCCTGGCTAAAGTTAGTGTTCGGGATCCAGTTTTTTCTGATTCATCCAAAGATTTTTCTGTTGTAGATGTTGCGCTTCCAGCACCTACTGGTCTTCTTCGTCTGTTTTTTGAAATAAATTGTGATTGCTTCAAATCTACTGCAGTAAGTGAAGATAAGTCAGCAAGTTCGGCCGGTCTATATTTTCTATTATATTCTTCATTTGCATCTACATAAGTTTCAGCGGTTGTACTTACTAATAACCTCTTCCTAGCTCTCACAGGTTTATTTTCTATGGTACGTTCGTACTTTTCTTCTTGTTCAGTGTCTTCATTTAAGTTTCTATTAACGTTACTATATCTAACTCTGGATCTAGAGCGAACCGTTGTTGTGGTTGGTGATTCGGTAGAAGTGTTTTGACTTAGACGAAATTTGAAAGAAGATTGACTCACCTTTGTATTTACTGGAATTTCAGTAGTAGTTGTAGAAATACCAAACGGCCTTGGTTGGAATAGTACCGGACGTTTCTTTACAGTACTACTTAAGGTACCACTAGTGGAACCGCTATTACTTTCTGTCGTGATCTTGTTTGTGGATGATACAAGAGATTCTGTTGTTATAGAATTATTATTACTTAATTGTTGTACTGTAGTTTCGGGAAGGTCGTTTTCGGTACTACTTTCTGAGTTCATAGTAGTTTTTAGGCTGCAAATCAATTAGTTTAGTTGTTTATTGATATTTTTATAGCAAAAACTTACTCTTCTGATGTTTCTATTAGCGAAACAGTGGTTGGGTCTACTCTAATGGTTGTAGATCTGAAATTATTTTCATTTTAGAAGAAATTTTTATTTAGTTGGCAAAATTACTTACTTTTCTTCTTCCACTGGAGACGCAGTAGTTGATCGACGAATTGAAGAATATTTGGATTCAACAGTATCAGAAGTCGGACTGGATGTAGTTGAACGTTTCCTAAAAAAAGTTTTCACATTACAATTGATAGTATGAATAGTAACAAACATTTATAAATACATATATTTATGTTGCGGCAGACTTATTATAATACTAAAAAAATATTGACCTTATAGTTTCTTCACCGATATCTTCATCTACCAAAGTTGTTGATGCAGTTGTAGTACCCCGACGAATCGTTTGGTACCTCAAAGAACTAACTTCATTTCCAGTTGCACTTGTTTCTGTTGTAGATCCTCTACGATTAATTTGTTTTTGATTGTCTTCGTCTCCTACTGCGTCTATAGAAGAGTCAGTTGTAGATCTTCTAATGGAACTATATTTGGAAGACGTTTCCGATGCTTCTGTTGTAGAAGGTCTTTGTCTTCGAATGTTGACATACTGAGGATGGTTGTTTTTCTTTGTAACCTCATCGGGATTTTCGTTTTCGTCTTCCGTGTCTACTTCGCCTAGGATTTTGTTCCGACTGAAACCACTGAAAAAAATAGTTTTTGTTAAAATTTCTGTCCCAAACTTTCAAAGTCAAAAAGTAGAAGAAGTTGTTGAACAAAAAGTAGACGAACATGTGGAAGATTTGTTTGTTTCGCCGAAATAATCAATGCGTTTTCAAATCGACTCAAATTTCACACAATGGATTCATCTTAACTTGGGTACCATCCAATGATAATTCTAAAGAGCATAAGTATTCTCTCAGACATTCGGAAACTGGACGTTTTTCACTTATTGAGTAGAAAAAAGTTAATTTTGATTAACGGAATGCGCAGAATCACATGGTCGTTTTGCTATTAAAACAACTCAATTGTGGAAATGTGTTTAATAAATAAAAATGGTTTTAAGTCTGCTATCTCCCGTTAATGTTTTTGGGATATAGTTTTTTCTTTACGTATGTATATTCTGTTGGCGGAGCAATTTTTACGTTAGATGACGTCAGTCCACATGGCACACGCCCAATGTTTCCGATGTCTGGTAACTTCAGGATATTTTTTGAAACGAAACAGCTGACTTAAAAATCACACGACTGTCAAATGTTACTAGTGTGTACTTTGATAAAAATCATACCTCATGTGTGTCTGACTTTTGAGTTTTTATATGTCCTAACTATTCAATAAAGTGCTTATAAATCGTTCTGGACTTTCACCCTTTCACGTAAGACCTCTGGCGTTTACAGGTTGTGGGCCCAGACCGATGGTGGCGTCGGGTGGTCAAAAAAGGGCGGCAAAAGTACAATTTAGTGAAAAAGTGTATACAAAACTAGAAAAAGTTCAGGGTAAAATTAAATATTTTTAAGCAAAACTGTTAAAGTTTGAAATGAGAGATCTATCTTCCAAGAATCAGGTTGATTTTCCTTTAACATTTCTGGGTTGAAAGATCACTAAGTCTGATAATGGGTTGTTTTTGAATCAAAAAGATTTAATTGAAAAGGACTAAGTTCAATATGTTAAATTGTAAAAATACAAGCATTCCAATCCAGACTAGACTAAATTTGAAGAATAAGTAGGTAGTCAAATATACAAAACTTAAACTTGTCCTCTAGGAAACCTATAGGATTTCTCACATACATACAAGGCCTGATTTGAGCTATTCAATTATTCAATTTATTATTTTAGTAGATTGCAAAACTGCTACACGTTAGAACATTGGACATATTTGAAGAATGTTTTGCGCTATTTGAAGTCAATAAGGGTCTTAGGTATGAGAAATCTGTAAATCCTAATAATGAAATGATAAGTAGCTATAAAATAAAAATATTTGATAATTTTGTATCCTGGAAGTCAAAAAAGCTGTCAAGTCAACTATTTTCATTCAGTAGGTAGCTCAGAGATAGAGTTTATTCAGATACTAGAATTAAATGCTTTTCCTGTTTTGATGTATCCGAAGACAGTTAGTCTTGCATCAAAATGACAAATACTTTAGAGATAACGAGTAGTAAACATAAAGATGTAAGACATCATTATGTTTTATTAACAGTGTGTTCAAGAGAATGAAATTAAGTTGCATTATGTACCAACCTCAGAGCAGGTAGCGGATATTTTCACTAAATCTTTAGCTGCACCGAAATTCAGGTATTTTCATAGTAAGTTGAATATTTGTAAATTAATTAATTGAATTAGGTAAATTAGGGGTCGATTAACGAATTTGATACATCTAAAATCGGTAAAGGACCCCGCAATATTTAATTGGAGATTGGTTACCCGTGATATTTGGATGTAATTTAAATATGTTATTGGGGATGCCATAAGCAACATTTTTTACCATGGGCACAACCCTGTATATATGACAGGTGAGGCGTGGTTCGCTGTCAAAAATTGGAATCCTATATCCAAAAGCAGAGTAACTATGGCAGATTTTGATGGACAAAAATCTATTTCTACTAAGTCGACCAAGTTAAGTCAAAAAATGTCAACCATTTTGACACCTCTGAAAACCCTGTCAAACGGCAGCACTCATTTTTTCCAGTTTTTAATATTTCGGATGTCATTTGACATTTTTAACTTGTATGTAAATTCTGAATTCAAAAATTGAAAAAAAAATGACAGAACTGTCAAAACCTGTCATTTGTTTTAGTAGAAATATATATATACTCTAATCTAGTTCTTTTTTGTTTCAAGATAGTTTATTGATGATAAAACATTAAACAAAGTCCATGCATGTCACATTTTGACATTTGTCAGAATCTGTTAATAGCTTTTCGGTTCATATTGAGTTTATTTGCTTAGTGAAGTTGAACAACTAGAATGATAGAATAATACAATAATACAATAATACAATAGAACTAAACCAATTTTATTCCCGTTGTAGAACTTCACTAAGCAAACAAACTCATGGCGTTTCCGATTGGTAGTTTCAATGCGCACTGAGTGTATTTGCATCCTTTCAATTAACCTGTAGAAGAAAAAGACAGAAATAAAAAAACATTGCACATGTTCTGCACTATATCTGCCAATCGGAAATGTCATCAATATGAAGCAAAAAGCTATTAACAGGTTCTGACAGTTGTCAAAATGTAACATGCATGAACTTTGTTTAATGTTTTATCACCAATAAACTACCTTGAAACAAAAAAGAACTAGATTAGAGTATTATTTTCCACTAAAACAAATGACAGGTTTTGAAAGTTTTGTAATTTTTTTTTCAATTTTTGAATTCAAAATGTATATACAAGTTGAAAATGTCAAATGACATCATAAAATATTGAAAACGGGAAAAGATGAGTGCTGCCGTTTGGCAGGGTTTTGACAGGTGTCAAAATGGTTGACATTTTCCGACTTAACTTGGTCGACTTAGTAGACATCGATACTTCGTTCACCAAAACCTGCCATAGTAACTCTGCTTATGGATATAAGATTCCAATATTTGACAGCTAACCAATCCTCACCTGTCACTTATACAGGGTTGTGCCCATGGTAAAAAATGTTGCTTACGGCATCCCCAATAAAATATTTAAATTTCATCCAAATATCACGGGTAACCAATTTCCATTTAAATATTGCGGGGTCCTTTAAGGCCGCGTTAATGGCCGCCATGTTCAAACTGTGATTGGTTGATTTTTCGAAACTTGTTTTAAGGTCTTTAAAAAAACGGCACATCAGAATTGCCTCAAATGCATGTTTATCAATCTTGGATCCGTGAAAAGCATATTTTATTGATAACCACAAAAAACTAAAAAAAACTAATTGTAGAGATTGTAGATAATATATCAAATAATGTTTATGCCAAAGGATCTTAGAAATTATTGCGGATTTTTTGAGATGACCTTAAAACGAATTTTGAAGGTGAAAACAGATCAAGCAATTTCAAGTAGATGGCGCCACGGTAAAAAAGCTATATTGGGAGGATCATAATTGTATATTTGTCTTTCTTTGTCACTAAGTGTTTCACCGACAAACAGATTTTGTTTTGGACAAATAATAAAATATTGAACCCTATGTGTAGAGTGAGCAGTCATCATTTTCAAAAACTAAATTTAAACATGGCGGCCATTAACGCGGCCCTAACAAGGTTTTGCATGGGCTAAGGTCTGTAAGTATTATGTGATTAGAGCATATTCAAACTCATGATTATTTTTAACAGCTGTCAAATTCGAAAACTGAGAACAGAAGTACTGGCACTAAATAGCTATAGGCGATTTCGCCCCAGACTTTGTTTGGTACATTTTGACTTTGACATGTTTATTTGGACATGAGAGGAAAAGAAACAGAAAGCTACCAAACCTCCAGAATGGAACCTGTTTGACAGACCAAACTGGGGTACCAAACTGAGGCGAAATCGCCTTATATAATTTTGTAGGCGAGGCTTCTGTGGTACCAAGCAATGTAAGTAATTAGCTTGCCTGTATTTAATTGTAAATTTTGTTTTTTAGTTCATAAGAATTGTTTGGCAGAGCAATTTTTATGTTATTATGACGATGGTCCATACGGCACACGCCCAATGTTTCCTTTATGTGTTAACTTAAAGGTGGTGCGGGTAGGACAAAGGGTTTTAAATAAAACTAAAGCTAGACCTATAAAGGTCATATGCAATAGTCAGGAGACAGTTAAACTGGCTTTAAAGTCTGGAAATAAGCTACGCGAATCTACAGTAAGAATATCTAATGACCAGACTGAAATGCAACAGGATGCGTACACCAAAGCAAAATCGTTACTTGAAAGTAGAAAGACAGCTGGCGAAGATAATCTTGTTATAAAGTATCGTAATGGCTTACCTGTTGTGGAAACGAAACAACCAAAACAACAAAAAAACCTGCCTCTACCCCATTATCTATTTATTTTCAAAATGTGGGTGGTCTACGGACCAAATTAGTGGATTTGTTGAAATCTGTAGCAAGTTGCGCCAATGACATAATAGTTTTGGTTGAAAGTAATTTAAATGATCACTTCAGTGATAGTGAAATTAAATTTGAAGAGTTTTGTGTCTATAGAAGTGATCGTAATTCTTTCACAAGCAAGAAGTTAAGTGGTGGAGGTGTTTTAATATTGATTAAAAAAAGTATTAAATCACTGTGCATCAAAATTGAGGAAAATCGTGTGGAGCAGATTTTTGTTTTCTGCGAGATTAATAAATTCAAGTTTATATTGGGTGGTGTATACATCCCTCCACAATCATCAAGGGATGTTTATGGTTGGCATTGTGAAGCGGTGGAGAATGTTTGGCAGCGGCATTCTGCAGGAAATATCTATATCTTGGGCGATTATAACTTACCTAATGCTGCGTGGACTAATGATGAATTTGGAGCAATTGTGCAATGCCCTCAGGGCGACCCAGCCCTTCAAGTGGCTCAGGTGTTTGGTTATCTTAGACTTTTCCAAATGAATGGCATTCCAAATGATAGAAATGTATTTTTAGATTTAGTTTTTTCTAATAGTAAAGGGGGCCTCTGAGCTGCTTTTAAATGACATCATCATATTGGGTATGAGTGTGTATTATCGGTGTCCAATACAAAAGAAAGTACCAATTTAACTTATGAAGAATTTAATT